AGTTTGAGCCCCGCATCGGGCTCTGTGCTGACAGCTCAGAGCCTGGAGCCTGCTTTGGAATCTGTCTCCCTCCCTCTTTGCCCCTCCCCTGCTTGCTCTCTGTCTCTCGAAAATAAATAAATGCTAAAAAAAATAAAAAATAAAAAAAATAAAAATTCTCTCTCTCCCTCCCCACTGCTCTAACAAAACAAACAAACAAACAAAAAGGAAGACACAAAAGCCATAGATTTGATCCTGAAATGAAACAGACTCACTCCTATCTGGATACCTAGTGTAGTATTTTGTGAATGAGGGCCTGGCTTCTCAGTTTGGTGTTTTGTCCTGTCATTTTTCTGAATGAAAGCCCTTAGACGTTCGTATTTACTTAAGGCAAATGCATCCTTCTGTGCACAAACGTTGCAAGATTTCACTATTCTGGGAAATTGGGTGGCTTTCGTAATATCCCACTGACTGAAGGTTGAAACAACTAGAGTTCAAGGGAACCAAGTACGAGAGACTCTAATGATGTAATTTTTCCCCCTTAACAAATGCTACTGAGAACAGCATTTTGGATGAATTTTCTCCTCAAAACGTAGGGCGTCTGATCACTTCACTCCTAGAGCTCCTAATAAATGCGCAGGAAGGAAGACTGCTTTTGTACATGGACTGTTGTTTGGTATGCCTTATACTGTTTTCACATGAACCTTTAGCTATCAAGCTCCTTGACGGTAGTCTTTGAATGCTAGGCACTCAGTACCTTTTTTTTTTTTTTTTTTTTTTTTTTTTTTAATGTTTATCTATTTTGAGGGTGGGGGAGGGACGGAGAGAGACGGAGAGGGAGAATCCCAAGCAGGCTCTGCACTGTCAGCGTGGAGCCCGACACGGATCTTGATCCCATGAACTGCAAGATCATGACCTGAACCCCAATCAAGAGTCTGATGCTTAACCGAGCCACCCAGGCACCCCAATACCTTACTTTTTAAAGTGCAGCTGGACACCAGGTGAAGAATATCCAGATCATTAAAGGCTTGGCAGGAAATGTCAGACTGCACGGCTTTAAAATCATCTGATAATCCAGTAAGTTGTAACCTCATGAAGATACCTCTAATACAGCTCTTTTCGTCAAAGACAAAAATTGAATTTGAATTTCATCAATTGTCACCAAATTCAGCTAAATTCCCTAACGTACAGATAAAACAGGGAAGGCTGGGATTCTACAGCTCCAGTAATTGTCAGTGCTGACTCAGTTTAATAACCTAAATTTTGAGGGGCATCTGGGTGGCTCAGTCGGTTGGGCGTCCGACTTTGGCTCAGCTCATGGTCTCGCGGTTTGTGAGTTTGAGCCCCACATCCGGCTCTGTGCTGACAGCTCAGAGCCTGGAGCCTGCTTCGGATTCTGTGTCTCTTCCTCTCTCTGCACCTCCCATGTTCATGCTCTCTCTCAATAATAAACAAACATTAAAAAAAAAAAAACCCAAAAAACCTAAATTTTGACCCCTAGGTTGAGAGGGAAAAGGAACCAGAGCAAGACTTGAGAAATAGGACGCAAAGGAAACGTTGCAGGTGTCGAGGTGCCGCTGGGGGGGAAGGCCGGGTGCTAACAGGGAGCACTGGAAAACCCAGGGCAGAAAATGGTGCCCCAGGATAAGGCCTCATGGTGGGGTGAGCAGCCAGAATGCGAAGAGTAAATTCACCAAAGGGTGAGTGGGAAAGAGGCTTCACAGATTAGAATGCCCGCCAAGAGAGTTGGAAGGTGGAGAAAATCGCCCAAAAAAGGCCAAAGGCATGAAGAATGAACGCTATAGAAATGACCATTTTCCCAAAGGTTTTGTTGTTGTTTCAATCCACCGGGTCACTTCCTAGTCTCTGTCCTGGGTCCTGTTTGAGATCTTCATATTGGACACACGTATCGTGCGTCTGAGAATTCCAGGTCTCCAAGTGCGACTCTAGTTTCTACTGGTTCTCATCATGGCGGCTGTTTCCTCACATACTGGATTATGAACCCCTGATTCTTAGATCTGTATCTGAGAGAACGGAGGCCTGGGGGAAAGAGGTGTTCTTCCTTAATTTGTGCTGGCTTCTGTCAGGTGTCTTTGGCCACCGTCAATGGGAGTTGCTTTAAATTCTCAGCTTGCTTTTCTCCAAGCCACATAGGTAGTGTGAGTCGTTCCCACCTTACTTGGACAAATAGTTTATAGATGGGATTCTCGTTACGATCTGCCCCACAAACCTGAGCCAGCATCCAGGCAGGCAGGTGTCCTCTTTCCTGGAGGCAGGGCTTTTGGCAAGTTCACCCTTTGGAGGGTAGGGGGTACCTTTTGGGTTCTGGGTACCTTTCTTTCTAGGTCTTGATCAAAGCTCCCACCTTGTGGTCAGAGCTCAGAAATCATTAGGCTCCAGGGGAGTGACAAATGCCCTTGGTTCAGCTGGATGCCCCATTGGTCCTGATGGTCTAGATTTGTGGTTTTTGGTTGTTTCTGCCTCTCAGGAACTGCCTGAGAATTTCTTGCTAGCTCAGACATCTATTTAGAGATTAAAAATAAATTCTAAACAGGTATGTATTGAAAGGGCTCTCTGGAGCATCTGGTCCACTGTATTTTCATAAACAGAAGTCTTCCCCCAAATCTGTTTATATCTTGCTGTGTTAAAAAAAAAAAAATCACTTCATTGATTGAGTGCATGTTGGGGATGATTTTGATTAAGCACTTTAATCACAGAAAAGGAAGCTGTGACATTGAAATGACTTGCCTTACTACCTAACATGTCGCTAATACAGCTGAGGCTGTTCCCCCCATCATTGCCCTTCCGAAGGGAAACCAAAGTTTAAGGTAAAAGATTGGTTTCTTTGAATCATCATAAGAAATGGAATTATAAAGTTTTTAGATTTTAAATTTGTAGAGTAAAAGAGATACATAGCTAAAGGAGATCTGCTATAAAAATCGTACTTCTAGAATGAAACACTAAAAGAAGAGCATGAAAGTTTCCAGTCCAAAGTCATGACTGCTGTTGGAGAACACATGTTCAAATATGTAAATATTCAAAGCAAGGTCCAAAAAAAAAAAAAAAAAAGGACTAGCTTTAAATTACCATTACATACAAAAAGTTTATTTTAGAAATCACATATCTTTAAAAAATAACATAGAAGTTCTAAGTTCCTATCATTCACCGTTTTTGAAAACCAGGTGTCACATGGGACAGTTAATGACATGCTGATGCCGAGTCCATGTAATATTCCCGGCATTCTTACCGGTTCAAAATATTGATGTGATTTTTAGAAGAAAAAATGTGTCTATTTTGGAAGCACAGAAAAGTATCTTGATCTTGTAGACAGAAGTCCTGAAACTTCAGATCCATGGCTGAGACTATTCCAGAAACTGGAAAAAGTAGGCATCATTATTCAAATTCACGAACAGTTAAAAAGACCCAGTGGAGCTTCAATCAGGAATGCCATGTGGTCATTCTAGCACATGTGCTAGAGCAGAGGAATGCGGAACATGTTCAGCCTCTGCTGTAATTTCGTACGTGGAAAGCAAAAGAAAAGCCAGAAAAAGAAGTGAGGACTTTTGGTCTGTAATTTCCTTATGGAACTGGTTATTCCTGTTCCTACTCAGCAGGTTTCTTCTCATCCTATAAAGGAGCACCCACAGTCACGTGCAAATACTGGAGAATCAGGACACAAAACAAAAATAAATCTAAACTCACTACAGACCAAAAAATACAGTTTTGGAAACCTGAATGAAAACGGATTTAACACATTAAGAATGCTTAAAATGGTTTCACAGGCCAAAGAGGTGAAATGATCCTTAAGGAGGATGACTAACACAGAATTTTTAGGCAATAAACTTCAGAAGATTTGAAAGTTCCTGTAAAATGAAATAATCAATCTATTTAGTATTTTTATCAACTGACCCTAGATTATATTTCTAGGTATTCCTACCCAGAGCATGAGGTATTTGCACTTGGGGATAAATATAAACCAAAGTCTATCTGGCAGAGGGGAGGTTAGGGTCCCCTCCCTTAGCTTGAGCTGAATCCAGAGAAATACTGTCACTTTCTAAATTAGAAAGTTTCAAGAAAAACCTTGATCAAGATTTAATTGCAAAAATCTTCCAAGAACATAGTTGCCACGTGCATCCACGACGAGTAGTGAACGATTCATGCTGAAGAGAACTGAAAAATAAGATTTAAAATTATGTAAGAACAAAGTCAATCAATAGTAATCATCTGTGAAATAAGCTACGGTCGGAGAGCAGCAGCGGGCTCACTGAATTTTGATTAGATTGGCTTTATCTTCAATTACGCTTTCCATCCGCTGGTAATAACCTTATCAGAAATATTTGCTGAAGAGAAGCATTGCGGGCAATGAAAGGAGAACGCGGGAGGTACGACGAAAGATACGTTTCCTAGAAATCTTCGGGAAAAACTGGCCATTAATTTTATTGACGTGAAAAAGGTAGAACACTAAAGTTGCAGATCTGAGCTTTATTATCAGAATGGTATCATTTCAGGATAGGACTGATGGATTCTCTAAACTGGTTTTAAAACGGCACGACGCTCTGGATTCTCAGAGCTGCAGGCCCACCTACCTGCCAAAATGTGTCCTGAAAAGAAAGACACAAAGAGGGTGTGTGTAGAAGAGGCACAGAAGTCGACAGAACCACCGGATGAAAATCCCTCACGACAGATCCACTTGAGATCTAGAAAGCACTTTAAAACTCTACCTTTCCTCAAATGATCAAGAGATTCAAGAGAAGTGGCAAGTCCTGTATTTACAAAACCGATGAAAATCACACTGTGATAATCAGTGAATGCAGAGCAACCGCACGGATCTGCGTTTCCCACTTTTCCCACCATGATTCTGCATCAAGGTAAAAAAAGATTCTTTTGTACAAATCCAAGGACGGAGAGGTGGCGGCACAACCGCCAGATGGCGCGGTGACTTACTACCGAAGCTGGTGACGGGACCCGGTGGGGGCAGGGGCACAGTCCTCGAGAAAAGAACCCTAGGCAAGGAAGGCGGGCTAGTCCGTGGTGGATCGCCGGTACCAGAACCGGGCTCGGAAGTCGTCGCTGCACGTCATGAAGCCGGGGTTGGTGGGCGAGTGCACTATGCAGCGCACGATGTTGTTGTGGCCCAGGGAGAGCAGGTTCCGACGCTCGGCGGTACGGGAGTCCCAGCAGCACAGACTGATGGTCCGCTCGTCCGGCAGCAGCACGTAGTCCTCGGTGTGGTTGAACACGGCCTGCGTCCGGTGCACCTGCCGCCCGCTCAGGCCGGCCCCTGCACGGACACGAGAGGTTAAGGGTCAGAGTGGCAGGGCTAGCTCCCCAGGGCTACACTTTAGACCCTCACACTGCCGTCCTTCTGTTCGTTACCCTGTCGATGTAAAAACGGCATCTTAAAACAGAATACACATTTATCGTATAATTTTGGAGCCTCCACAGAAGCATGCAGAAATAAATCGCCACTGACCTACCACCTGAGGCAGCCGACTCCGTCAACGTCCCGACGTACTTCCAGGCACAGGGACGTCTTAAGAAAAAAAAATACAGGGGCACCCGGCGGGGGGGGGCTCAGTTGGTCGAGCGGCCAACTCCGCTTGTGGTTCGGGAGTTCGAGCACCACACTGGGCTCGCTGCTCTCAGCACAGAGCCCGCTTTGGATCCTGTGTCCCCTCCCCATCAGTCCCTCCCCCGCTTGTGTTCGCTCTCTCTCAAAAATAAATAAAACATTAACAAAGTAGAAAATTGGTGCCGTGTCATATAGGTCATTTCTGTCATAGTTTAAACCAACTTTTCATTAGGTACATTTTTCTGTGTTTTTTACTGGCCGCAAAATACACCACCATCTGGAAGCACCCTTACTATTTAGTAATTCTTTTCCTGCTAGGGGCATCTGGTTGCAAGTTATGCTGACAGATTCTTTATGCCGAACATACTATTTCCTCAGGATTAAATTCCTAGAACAGAATTGCTGGGATGTTTGAACGTCCGCTCTCCAAAAAGAAGCTCTAGGCTTTTTTATGACCATGAAAGTACAGACTTTATGTTTAAAATATCATATAAAGTCTAAAAAGAACAACCGCCTGATAATTCTACACCCAGAGTCAGTATTTCGATGAATCCTTTCTAAATATCTCTGTAAATACCTCTGTATTCTGTAAATCGGAGCTCACATCATATGCTATTTTTATACAGCAGGGTAGCAGAGATCTATAAAGATGAAATACGGCTTAATGGATAAAAACAGAGGCGCTGGCATCAGATCTGGGCTCAACACTTACTAGTGACGTGAACACGGACACATTACGTAGCACCTTTAAGCCTTACCTTTCTCTTCCGTTCTCTGGGGGACAATGACAGCACCAACCCACACGATGTTGCGAGGACTGGCATGAGGGCACGTCCAGTGGCATACATATGCTCACAGATGTTCCTGTATTTGTTTTTAACGGCCGCACGCTGTGAAAAGGACGCGTGACAAGAGTGCCCTCGGTGCTTTCTGGTGGACACTTCTGCTGTCTCTAACGCTCCCCTCTTCGAGACTATGTTGGGACGGACATCCTTCTACGTGTGTGTGGGCATACCTGCCAGCAATCTTTTTAGGCTGAATTTCTAAGAGTCCAAAATATATACGTATGCTGAAAAATAGGATTCATGACACCAACCCCCCTTCAGAAGGTTTCCAATCAGCACTCCTTAACAACGAGGTATGTAACTTCCCCAAGTGTTGTTCAATACGAGAGAATATCAATCTTTTAAATTCCTACCCTCTGGGGAGTACAAAAAGAAACTCTGACGTGCATTTCTTAGGTCTGTAGAACTGATGGTCATCTCTCTCTCCTTGAGCTCACTGCCCAGTGTCTGGCAGGTGTCTGTTACACGTGCTACACGGTGTCCCTAGCTCAGCATTTTATTTAGTCTTTTGAATTAATTTCTCACACTGAAATTTCTAATGCTCGATAGCTTTTCTTTTTCCTTCAGTATTTCAAAAACCCACTGAATTCTAACTAAACATTAAAACTGGAAACACAGACCTAAACATGGGCTCTTAGCCCGTGAGTTAGAAAACGAGGGAATTTGCGTATCGATTCAGTACAATCTTACTTTAAAATCAAATCCCAATTCTCTGCCGAAGCAAACCAGGCAGCCCCACAGAAGCATAAAACATTCTGCCGTTCACAGGACAAAGCAAACGTTAAGAAATGCTGTGAGAATCTGGCGCGTGCCCTCCACACACATCACACCCGACGGCGGTTGTTACTGCCGAAGATGGAGACGGCCCGCCCACTTTTACTTTGACCACTTTTGCATCTTCTTTTTGCAACAAGCACGCAGCCCTTTAACAGTAATAATTAGAGGAAGGTTTTCAAAATACCTCCTTACAGAAGCGTTTCAACAAAGGACCAAGAATGAGGATGAAACTGACGCTTCCTAAGACCTGCTAGTTGTATGGTCTGTGTCAGAGCCAGAGAGGGACAGCAGGAAGCAAACTGTCCCCAGGAGATGGATGTGAGGTGGATGATACTGCACCCTGGTGGCTCCGACGTCCCTGCCTCTTCAATCTTCTCTAAAAGGAGAAGCGACTGCCGTAGCAGCTGAGCCCTTACGAAGGCGTGGTTTTCTTTCTTTAAAAATTTTTTTGATGTTTATTTTTGAGAGACAGAGACAGAGAGAGAGGGAGACACAGAATCTGAAGCAGGCTCCAGGCTCTGAGCTGTCAGCACAGAGCCCGACGCGGGGCTCGAATCTCAAATCCATGAACTGTGAGATCATGACCTGAGGTGAAGTCAGATGCTTAACCGACTGAGCCACCCAGGCGGTCCTGGTGGTGTTTTCCTGTAGAGTTTTAAAGTTCTGGTCATGGTGATTTTAGTGTGGGACACAAACATCTCACAACAGAGGAAACTAGTTGAACTTTCCTGGAGGTTTGCTACCAAACAACAGCCTTTGCTGCTCCGAGGAACAGAAGAATAAGACAATATTTTGACAACATTCATTACCAAGTAACTGTCAGGGTAGCTGTGCTCTCTTATGAACAGGCCTAGATGGCCCTTCTCCGCCTTCCTTCCCTAAAGTGTACACTCATTGAGATCCACTGACTCCGCCTTTTCTCTGGACTGCTTTTATGTTTGTGAGGGAAAAGGGCAGTCCACTGGTCTACAAACAGACCACCAGAGTCTCAATGTTACTGGCATAGACTCACATCTAGTTGAAGCTGTGACGTACGGAGAAGAACACAGTTCAGAAACGAAGGTTCTATTTCCAGCTCTTACCAACTGTAGCCTTGGCTAAACTACTTAACCTCTAAGCTTTGCTTTCTTACCTAAAAGAGGTGTAACATCTGCCTTGCTCAACGCATACATTGATCATGTGGCTCTCTTCTGGAAGCCAGAAAATGCTACAGAAAAGGTAACAGCAACTTTTCACATACCTGTGTATCTGACCAGTGTCCGTCCTGTTGATATCTCCCAAAGTTTAGCTACGGAGTCTTTTCCACTGGAGAGAATGTATTTGGAATTTTTGGAGAAAATGGCAGAACAAACCTCAGCACCATCATGTGCCTTCTCAAAGGTTGTGATGCACCGATTTGAAACACCATCCCACAGCTTGATGCAGCCGTCCTTGCTACCAGTGACATACATGTTGGCGCTGGGATTGTAATTAACGGAGCATATAGCATCGGTGTGTTGATCTTGAGGATTGCAAGAGACAAAACACTGAAACGTGTTGATATCATAAAGCCGAAGAGTAGGATGCTGAGTCCCAACGAGTATAAAGTCTCCGGAAGGATGAAAAGAGATAGAGCGTAGCATTTCAGCTTCCTGTTAGGACAGACACATTAAGTGGCTGGTGAATAATTAAATGCAGAGAAAATGTGGAAAATATTTGGTTGACGGAGAGACTACATAAAACAACGATCAGATGTTACAAGGCAGAAGAAGGAACAACGAACTTTGTAAAATACGGGAAGGTATCATTTGAACAGAGATTTTAAAAACCAACTACTGGTGGGATTATATTCCCAAAACCGTGGAAGTGAGCTTCGTCATTTGCAAACGAGCACTGGGAGAACTCAGAATGGAACATCATCAAGCTAGGATAGTTTCACACGTTAACGAATGAGGATAAACACAACTTGTACGTGTGGACAGCTTCTTTAATCTGTCCTACGGCTCCAAATACGGAGTAAAAAACTCAGTTCAATTACTAAAAGGTGGAAGCCACTACTAAAACATTAGTATTTCTTTCCTGCATACTCAAAATATCACTTTTGCAGTATCGCTTTTCCAGTAAACGTCTGAGAGTTTCAACTGAATAATTTTTTGATTCCCGTTAAGTTACACTTCGGTGAAGTGACTGTTTCACCTTTAAACAGGGATCTGCGACTATGAAAGAGTGACACAGGTTCTGGGCCTGTTGCATAAACTGTGACCAGAGAAAGTGGCTGCTTGACAGCGTGGGAACCACGGGCCAATGCACTCTGAGTCCCGTGCCACCTGCAGCACGTGTCCTTGCAGCTGCTTCGTTTTGTAAGATGGTCCCTGAGGCTACTTTAAGAACAGGAGCAGTCATACAGTAAGTGCTCTTTGCTTTTAAGAAGAAACTGGATAGCTCCTTTCTAAACACTCCTAACCTGAATGTACTTGAAGGCTCTTTTTGCAGATGGTTTGGAATAATCAAATAACTTCAGAGTATAATCCCTGGAACCAGAGGCAAGGATTTGTTCTGTTGGGTGGAAAGCGAGACATGTGACTTCATCCACGTGGTCATAAAGCGTTCGGATCACTGGGTGGTTTTCCATGTTCTGTTGTGCAGTCTCATTCATCATGACCTAGACCAACGAGAAAAGAGATGCTCAAAGGGCAAAATCTGACTCAAAGCCCCCGATTATGCTAAGTTAAAGCTGGTCTAAACTAGTCTCTCACTCTCCCGACGAGCAGCGAGCGAAAGGCAGACGGTACGTACGTTGCTGGGATTTTTACCTCTATTGGCATGGCGCTCTTGGCCAACATTCTTTCCGTGTCAAGTATCTTTATGGAAGCATCGGCAGATCCGGTGGCTATTAACTGCCCGTCTCTGCTGTAGGTGGCTACGCGGCAGGGGCCTTTGTGGGATGTGACGTAGCATGTTTCGTACTCTGAAGCCTCTGGGGACATAGTTTGGACGTCGGCATCAAATTCCAGGTCAATCCCCGTGCCAGGGGCCACTGTATCTGAACGACCAATTGCATACTGAACTGCAGTATCGTCATTTTCCATTCCTGAAATGAACCAAAATTAAGTGCGTGCAAAAATGTCATTTTAAAAAGCCAAGACAAAATTCTGGATCCAAACTGGGAAAGATGTTGGCCAACATCAACTTACTCTGTCTTGGAGTGGCGTGACACTTAACCCTTCACAAAATTATGTATATGTCAACCCGGGTGTATGTTCAGTGACAACACCGTAGGCAATATAACATTGACTGCGGAAGGTCAGGCTCAATAGGTCACATCACCTCCCCGTTTTTTTGCTTCCAAAATTTTCTACTGTAACGACGACTACAGAAACTCAAAAAAAGCAGTTCTATAGCTAAGCTGCCCATTTTTTCTCGTTCTGAATTTTAATATTTTTAGTGCTGAGATCTGTTAGTAGCAGCTCTGGGGCTCATTAAGACAGATACACTGTTAGCACTAACACTAGTGAAACGTAGCTGAAAGACTGTTGATATTTAAATAAACAAGCTTTTCAAGAAAATGCATTTTAAATTGAAAAATAACTTCATGTACCATATAAACAGTATGTTTATTAGTATAAGAAAAATTAGGAATAGAGATGAACACAAAAATGACCTTGTACTAGATTACTCAGAGATAATTACTGTTAAAATGGTGGGATGAATTCTTCTGGACCTTTCTCCATGCACAGTTGTTACAATTCTTGCAACAAAAATAGAACCAAACCATATGACATGTTATAACTTACTTGTTCATTTACTCAAACAGAATAAAAATCTGGCCAGTGTAATTTTTATCTACATCATGTGATTGGACCCAATTTGAGGATACAAGAACATTCACAACGAATTTCTTATTGTTGGATATTTCAGTTGTTTTTTATTTCCTCGGAACAAATTCTCAAAACTGGCATTGCTAGGGGCACCTGGGTGGCTCAGTTGGTTAAGCGTCTGACTTTGGCTCAGGTCATGATCTCACAGCTCGTGAGTTTGAGCCCCACATCGGGCTCTGTGCTGACAGCTCAGGGCCTGGAGCCTGCTTTGGATTCTTCCACTCTTTGGAGCCTCTCTCTCTGCCCCTTCCCCGCTTGTGCTCTGTCTCTCTCAAAAACAAACATGAGAAAACATTGTTTTTTTAAATTAAAACAAAACAAAACAAAACAAAACAAAACAAAACAAAACAAAACACCATGGGGCGCCTGGGTGGCTCAGTCGGTTGTGTCTGACTTTGGCCTAGATCATGATCTCAATGTTCACAAGTTCGAGCCCCGCCTCAAGCTCTGGTGCTGACAGCTCAGAGCCTAGAACCTATTTCAGATTCTGTGTGTCCCTTGCTCTCTGCGCCCCACCCCCCCCACTCTGTCTCTTTTTCTCAAAACACTGTCTCTTTCTCTCAAAAATAAACATTAAAAAAAATTAAAAAAAAAAAACCATAAAAACTGGCATCGCTAAGTCAAAGGGTGTAAACATATTGGGATTTCTATATTTTATAGAGTGCTTTCTACAGCCCAGGCAAGCACCAGGATGTACCGTTGAACGAGACAGAGATCCTGATGTTTACTGCACGTGCTGTCCTTTCTTGGGGAAGGTGCAGACATGTGGGAAACAACCTGAAACAATGAAGTACATTTCGGAGAGTGATTCTGTCATGAAGGAAATGGGGTTGTTGTTGTAGAATAACTGGGGAGGTCTGGGGAAGATAGTGGGTTATTTTCAAAAAAGTGAAAAGGACTCTGAGATGACATGTGAGTTGAAATCTGCAGTCAATAAAACAATGACAGAATGTTCTAGATAATTCTCATAGAGATCCTGGGGCTACAGCCGGTTTGAAATCTTCATAATCTGGGGTTTGCTTACCCTTTCAGTACCTACCACTGTACCTGACACATACTAGGCACTAAGACTGAACAAAAATCATCGGGAAAAATTCTGATCGTGAAGACCTCTGAAACCTTGTCAAGGAATCCACGCGTCCCCAAGCTACCTAGTTTGATGAGATGTAGGAGCTGCTCCGAGGGCGCACAGACAGACTGCGGCTTGATTTCGTTGATGAGGCCATTAGCAATGCTAATATAGCCATCGTAGAGCAGCTGGCTAATGATCAGCTTGTACAGCTGCTGGCGGTCCTTCAAGCCCACTTTGGTTCTGTACATCTCGGAGAAGACGAAGACAATCTCCCTGGCAGCTGCAAGGGGAGAAAACAGGGATGGTGAAGGGCAGAGGCACCAGTAAATCACGGAAGCCACGCAGCAGTCTGGGCAGACCAGCGGGGCTTCCGTCCCGGCCCTGCTAGTTGCATCATCTTCGGTCAGTGACCTCGTTCCTCTGAGGTCAGGTTCCTCAGCTGTTAAGCACGTTAGCAAAGGTAAAAACAGATGGCACGTGCAGAGCATTGAGCATAGTAGCACACAGAAATTACTCAAATCGTACCAGCAACTATCTACAGAACTTCTTTTCATCAACTACTCTCTGTCATACTACCCACCTGCCACTTTTATTCTATTCTGCTATCCCAGAATCTTCTGTTTCTTCTGTTAAGAAAATACCGACTGGTTTTTGCAGTAGGGAAGATGGCTACTATTGTTGAATGTCTAGACATTACTGTTTCCACCAGGTAAGCTGTATGTTTACTAATGTCAGCTATGTTTTTGTTTTTGATTAAAGTTTATTTATTTGAGAGAGAGAGCAGAAGCAGGGGAGGGGCAGGGAGAGAGAATCCCAAGCAGGATCCACGATGCAGTGCTCAATCCTGCAACTGTGAGATCATGACTTGAGCTGAGATCAAGAGTCGGACACTTAACAGACTGAGCTATCCAGGCATTCCGAGTTATGTTCATTCTTTTTTTGTTTTTTAAAGTTTTCTTTTTTGGGGGCGCCTGGGTGGCTCAGTCGGTTAAGCGGCCGACTTCAGCTCAGGTCATGATCTCGCAGTCCGTGGGTTCAAGCCCCGCATTGGGCTCTGTGCTGATGGCTCAGAGCCTGGAGCCTGTTTCAGATTCTGTGTCTCCCTCTCTTTCTGACCCTCCCCTGTTCATGCTCTCTCTCTGTCTCAAAAATAAGTAAATGTTAAAAAAAAAAAAAAATTAAAGTTTTCTTTTTTTAACGTTTATTTAT